GACGACGTGAACCTAATCTGATAAAAATATGCGTTCACTGTAAACTACTCGAGGCTTAATTGCATCATCGGAAGGCTCTTTCCGCTTGTTCTCCTACTCGCGTGATCGTATACCAAAAGTCCATTATAAGCTGAACCCTATTTAATATGATTGGCCATATATAAATAAGGTCAACTTACTTTGGGATTAAAATTTTGGAATCTTATTTTTTTATTTGTCATCATGCAAATTATCATTTCATAGATAATATTAATTCATAGCTCGGTGGCACTACGGATATGCGCCGCTGCGCACGATCGCTATTGCTAAGCAATTTTCGCAAGAGTTGTTCACGGGATGGGTGATCAAAAATTATTAAACAAAGGCCTGAGGCGATGATCAATATATCAAAGACAAAAATTTTATAAAACAGTAAATATTTCATAGCAATTTTGGCGACCACGTCACTTCAAATTAACATAACTTTTTTATTTGTGAACCGATTGTAATAAATCTTACATTAAATGTTAACGGAAGAATGCCGCGACATAATAGTGAAAATGCATTTAAATAGGTTCAGTCGTTTCTGAAATTATTGTGCACAAACGCACAGACAAACAGACAAAAAAAATAAAAATCATTGTTTTGTATTCTATTACGCTTATAAATGTCCCTTATAACAGTTTTTTTCATATATCTTCAATGTACAGACATCGATCGCTTACGTTTTTATTATAGTATACACGGAAAAATTATTCTGGTATGTGTAACTATATTCTGGTTACCATTACAATATTTATTACTCTATATGTGACGACCACTCGTATCGTAAGCGTTACACAATGAGTCTAGTTAAACATGAATTGAAGTTGTCACATTGGTATTGTTAATTTTACTATTTAATTTTCAGGTCCGCAATCCTTTTTTGTCCTACCAACAAGAAAGTTTGTGTTGTTAATCAAAAGTTTTGTAAATAACATATAAACGTTTAATTAAATTTACTGAATGTCATGTCAATTGTCAATTTTTTGTAGTTTTATTTACTACAAAAAAATTACTAATACGATTTGTTGTGTACCTCTGACAAATATTGTATTATAAATGGAACAGAATGATACGTTCACATTACAAAATGACTTGTAATGACAGCAATAGGTATTGTGTAGGTAACTTCTTATTTTGTAAATGGACCAGGGAAATTAGTTGGCTTATTCCACCGGAACTGTCGGTAAAGACGTGATTGCTTAAAATGTGCTTTTATTTCTCAAGATTCATTAAGTTTTCCGAGAAATAAAAGCTCTGAACTTTAAGCAATCACGTCGATACACGACAGTTCCCGCAGAAAATGCCAATAAAAGAAAAACAAACAATAATAAGAATCAACACTTTTATTAATTAAAACGTAGAATCAATTAGAAGTAGCTGATACCCTGTCGGCTTTTTTAAAACAAGGTACTCATTCATGTAGTCAGATACTGTTATATTTTTAGTCTCTTCAAGTCTAATCTTGGATGTATTTTTCCTTTTCTCTTCAACTGTTTTCCAAGGCTCGCTGGATTTTCTAAGCCACTCAAGGTCTTTATGAATATTTTCTGAAAATATAATATGATTCATGAACTTGGCACCGACAGATTAATGCCTAATGTCCCTGGAGTGGGAGATGGTAGCAAATATCTATACATATAATAAAATCGTAGGAAAGTCAAAACTGTACATTGAATATTTTGTAAAAAGAATACTTGAGGTGTGATCTACAATCGATATCGAAGCCAAAAATAAAGTTTTTAGAATTTTTGTCTGTCTGTTTGTATGTCCGTGCTAAACTCAAAAAGAACTGCATGGAATTACTTAAAATTTTAAAATTAAAATTCTTACTTGTGATTGATTGGATTGATTGTCGTTCTCAGAATCCATCAAGGTCTTCCAATTGTTTAAATTTTTAATAAAATTTACTATATGTCCAATTGGTGGTATGAGCTCCTTAATAATATGCGAGTCCAACAGCATTAAGCAGTCCATCGTAATGTGGTTTTCTGAAATTAAAAATATATCGCACACCTAGATCTAAACTAACACAAATTGAGGCGACGGGCTGCTGAGCACTTATCATATCACTACTCAGTAACACAATAAAAACATCTAGCCCCCTCGTCAAACGTGGCCGCTAGTGTGAAATGCACCGTAGGGCTCTGCTTGCCCCGATATGGGCGTGATTATAAGTATCTATGTATGTAATCTAAAAAGTCAGGCGTATATCATTTCTGATGAGTACATATTAAATAAATGAAACTTACCAGAGAACACATCCACATAACCGCTGAGACCCCAAGCAATATGTAAGTTTCTGACATCTTCGTCCATTTCAATTTTAAAGCAATAAAACACGATTAGGAAGCGTAATGGCGGCGATCGGCGGGCGATTATCCCATAGAATAATAGTAATCCTATCACTGTCACTTCACTGCGCGCGCGACTAAAAGAAAGAAAAATGATGCAATAAGTTCACTGCCCCTCACCCCCCGCATCTCGATCGCCGCCAAGGCGCGCGAAGTTTTGCAAATGCAACATCACTGATTGTTCTCTATACTAATTGTATTGTAATTACAAACGTATTTTCAGTACTCATCATAACTCGTGTTGTAGATTTTTAAAATACAATTTTTCTTGTAATGTTTAATATACTTTCAGAGCTGATTACAATTTCAGAAATAAAAGAACTGTTACTGAATTGCTTACAAAATGTCAACTTATGTTAACAATATTTCTGTTTTCGTGTACAAAATTATAGTTATCTTTACAGTATTTCTCTTAACCTATACGTTTTGTAGTATTGTAAACTAAAAAGTTTTTCCGTGTAGATTTGTTACAGTCCTCTTTTTGGAAATTGTATAATAAACAAAATTGAATTGATTTTACGACGACCTCTTACACTGTGACGAAAAAAAATACTCTAAATAGTAATACAAATATGTAATATAAACATTTACCATTTACGACAGCTTCCTTATTAGATTAAAACCCAATCTACCAGCATAAAATCCTTACAAGTAAAGATATAATTAATGAGAATTAGTAAATAGTAAATAACGAAATGAGCACTCTGATTATAGTAAAACCTGCTCTACAAGAATGTATGATTCTTGGTGCATATTAAAATCTTCTCAAACTGGTTATGTTCCTCTTAAAAAAAATCACAGCGGAGTTCATCTAAATGTAGCTACATGTTTTATGAAACAAATCGGTTAATTTATTCTGTATAATTTCTCTAACGGCTTTGTAAGGAATTCACTTTATGGTGACTTATTATTAAATAGAATAACATGACCATGGAGACACCTTGGACTATTGGAGGACTCGTCTGTTACAGTCCGGAATTTCCTTGAATGGGATTTATTACTAGTGTATATCCGACATCGCCTTTTATCGCACAAACTCCAAATTGAACCTTCTTAAAATATCTACGGTTAATGCATACATATACTAAGAATAATGTTTTCCAAGAAGATATTCACTAGTTGTTTTTTCTCTCTATGGTTCATACGAATGAATAAGTTCATCGCATAATATTGAAATGTACATAATACAGTGCTGAAATTACATTACATTGTTACAAATTAAATAGTTAAAATCAGTAAAGTTTGTAAATTAACCTTTAATTTACTCGAATATATTTTGGTACATTCTTCTTTTCCACCGTTTGATAAATCCAAAGTAAAAACATTTTAGTCTCGTAGACATGTAATTTTTAAATCATATTTTATAATTAATAAAAAAATTGAGATGTTGTTTAGTTGAGAACATTATTGTTTCCCATTTATTTAACATTGAATTATGAAATCCCTTGACGTAATCATGTGTACCTATGCGTGATTCGCTCTGTTTCAAACGACGCAATCACGACCTTCGCGTCATGCAGATGCAACGGCGAATACCGAATCTAATATAAATGTTTGTCATTTCACTAGAAACAGACAATAAAATATCTGTTTTTACAAATTCCTACGGAATTTGTCATTGTTATAAGTAAACTAAGTATAAATATGTTTTAGATTACATACACAACTATCAGAGTACCTAAAGCTTCAATATACGTATATAGTAGTCGAGATTATATAGTTTGTTTCTAAGTAATAATAAATTTATTTTCTAAGTAAAAATACTTTATTTAAATCAGCGCCCAGTATCGATGTAGGTTATGGGTTCACAAATTACAACTCTGAAGCTCCGAGTTTTTTATTGCCTTAGTTTTAGATTTCGCTAGCATAAGTATTGATGTCACAAATATTAAAGTGATTACACTAAAATAGGTATGGGCAGAAATACTATACTATGTTACAAAAACAGCTTAGAATTCAACAACGAGCGCAGCGCTGTTACCGCATGAGATTCAATCAAATAAAACCTCAAATTAATAAAGCGTCTGTTTCATTCAAGTTATACGCTGTGATGGCACTGAGCTCAACGTCGAGTTCTCTTATTAATTTTTTATTCTTCTATTATTAATATAATAATTGAAGAATAAAAATTAAATATTAAATCATGACTACGATCCAAAAAAATATATACCTCCTTGAATATGAATAAACTGGACTATTTTAAATGCTAAAACGAAACGAAATATTAACGAAATATTTTAATTTTTATTCGACCTCACAAATCGTTATCATAATAAAAATATTTAAAAATATCCAAAACTAAAAAAAATTAATTCTTTATATATATATCAATCTCCTTGTTATACAATTATAAAACATTTGATATACGATTAAAATAAAATAAAAAAAACCTTAATTAATTCATTTTGTGACCGTTTCTAGAAAGATCCGGCTGCGACTAAATTTGACCAGTAAACATGCATAAGAGGCTCTAATAGAAAATTGAATCTTATCACAGAGGAAATACACAACACTATATACATTATGCTCATCCAGCATCGGGGAAATCTAATAAATCTTACGCGGTAGCAGAAGATTGTAACTTGCAAACAGCTTTACACTTTTGTTTCTCCAAATACAAAACAATCAATCATAGTCTAGGATGCAAATATTACCAGTAGCGATGAAGCCCTTTGGACAATTTCCCACAACAATTACGCCAGTACGACTCTCCAGTTTTGATAAAACAATAGTCCTTGCGGTTGTAGTGTTAAAAGGCATTTTGTCTTCAGTCTTCGAGATTTCATCGTGAACTTCAACGTTATGTATTTTATTTCGTTTCTGTCTAACTGTGTTCAAATCTAGATCGGTATTTTCGTCGTGATTAGGTTTTATTATAACTTCGACAGTTGATCCTTCTTGACTTATATTCGATTGGTTCGTTTCGACCACACGACTTTCGATAGTAACAAATAATATTACAGGTAAAACAAGCAGACTTAAAAATGACACCATTTTATACATTGTTTAGATTAACACTAAAATTCTTTAAAATTTTAATTAAATGCGATCAGGTACACCGCCGACTGTCTAATAAAAACTCAAAATAGTCACACAGTTTTATATACGAATATGATGAGGACGATGGAGACTTGCTTCACCCAATCAAAGTCCTTCTGTTGACAGTTTATCCTTTGTGTTACGTCACACTTGCATCGATCATTAATTAAAGTGATACAGGTTTTTTCCTATATTTAAATTAGATACATTTACCATATACATACATTTACCACTATAATAATATGAATATTAGAAATATTAGTTAGGTCTCATCCAATGATATTGACGATTTCATCAAAAGAATTATTATAGATTTTCTTTTTATTATTTTGACATTATTAATCAAAGTTTTCACCGATTCAATTGATGCGCTCTTGTTCAATGATGCCTTTTTTGAAGAAATCATTGCATTTTTCAAAGGCCTCTCGGCTATTGAATTATTGGCCTACCAAGATGTTATTAAAATTCTGAAAGTCCATAGGGGCAACGTTTTCGAGGTGAGTACCACAGATGACGGCGAACTTTCAACCCCATCTTAATGAATTAAAATTTCGATTTGAGAAATTACACCGGAGTTGACTACTAAGCCGCGATCATCACTTTTCTAGGGGTAAACTTTGGTTTAGGTGCTGAACCAGAATCTAACCAAGTTGCTGAGTGCTTGTGATTGTCAAGAAGCCATTTTCATTTTTCTTAGCGGGTAACAATACGGTTCATAAATGTCTTATCTGTGTGCTTGTTAAGTCGACACATCAGTCAGCACGTCTTAACGATAGGGTTTAATGTGGCATTAACTGTTAAGTAGCAAATGTTTTAAGGAATTACTTGAAAACCTTATATTTATTCAGAAAAAATAAACATAGCGTTATAACTTAACTATTAAACTTAAAACTGATTTGACTTGTATTGACATATGAATTAAATATAGCTCTACACTCATAAATAAAGGTTAAGAAAGCTAAAGTATAGCCTATTAAAAGTACAATAAATATTTCCATTAGTTCAGCCAATGTTTCTGAATTTTCGTGTTCATCTATTGTGTAATAATATTTAAGACGATCCATATACAAAAGTACACCCAAATGTCTCTTTATAATACCGCTCTCTGCACTTAGTTCATTAATTTTACTACAAGAGCTTAAAAATGGCGTACCGCGACGAAAATATGTCCCTCTTTGCAGATTGACTATGGGTTCCGATATTGGATATGTTAGAAGTTCTCCAGATTTGTCAATTACTTTCCACGAATATGTTTGATACGCTATTTCTGGTATTACGGTATATAAATTTTTCTTTCTGTCTTTTACTTCTGTCAAACATTCAAGGACAGATTGACATTCTAATGTTTGATTTATACCAAAGATCGATTGCCACGACCAACTTCTCAAAGGCTTGCATTTTGTAAACGCCTCTTGCAAATTGTTGATTTGACGACCTCTTATCGGTGTGGTTGTTGCACTTGAAAGAAAAGCCTGAATCAAAAACGTAATGAAAAATACAAATAAAATTAATAAAGCCACTAAAAAACGATACACGCTGCCAGTTTTCATATATCTGTTACGCATATTGCCACAAATGTAACCAATCACAATGAGAATGCCAAGAGAGACGTCTCTCTTTTTTCTAGTGAAAATAGAAAAATGTATTACAACATAACAAAAGAAAATAAGGAACATCAAAATAATGACAGACGTATACCAATTAAATTGTACGAAGACAGATTCCCAGCTGGTAAGCATACGAGCTCTAGCTACTACTGCGAGTTGCTGATCTATAAGGAACGGAAAAGTATAATCTAAAGCTTTAGCTCGAGAAAGTGATATAGTGTATCCACCAATTGCACCGTCCAATTTCTTTTCTTCTAACCAACTAAGCATTCCCGTGAAGGTATAGTTTCTTGTAACCCTCCCATACATTTGATCCTTCTCATATCTCATCATCTCAACTGTCACGCCTGCATGATCGCACCATAATTGCATTATCAAATCATTGACACCATATAAAAGCATATCTGTCTTGAGTATCTTATGGACTGGATAGGACTTGTTCTGAGAGTTATTGAAATTGACAAAAGGCCAAAAGTGATGAGCCACCATTCTGATATGGCATCCACGAAAATTGGCATTTTTCTTGACGTTAAAAACTTTAACATTACGAGACAGCTTTGAGCACCGTGTGATGGATTGTAGTACTTTAATAACTGGTCTACCGCAAGCATCTACATCACGATTGAATGTCTTAATATCGTAATCATTTACTGTTTTGCTAATAACAGTTGCATTAAACATATTATTTTCATACAATTGATTTGATAACGTGTTTAGATTCCCATCTATATTATTTTGTATGACGATAATAAATTTAGCTCTCGGATTCCAAAAGAAGTCCTTCCTGAGTGATTTAATCCCGTTTTTTAATTCGACATAATTATCGCTATTAATAATGTAGAATGGATTCCTCAATGGATTTTCGGGCCATAGAAAAGTTCGGGAAATATATGTTAAGTTGTTAAGTTTGGTGAACATAGTCGTTGGAGTACTATCTTGATAATTCACAACTGTCACATCTATTTTTTTTTTCGTTAATTGTACTTGTTCAATGATGTTCTGTATGCAATCACTGAGATTGTAGTCATTTTGTAAGATTTTGAAATTATCGATCATATCGCCTTTAACAATATTTATTATCAAAGATAATAAGGGAAATATTGGATTGTGTTTCATTCTAAATTTATATAATAGGTTTTAGTATTTTTTAACATATACGTGTCACTGTAACGGGGTATTGTAAAGTACTAATAATGAATATAACCATTATTAATAGCTAACCACGGGTTCTTTTGTGTATCTATACTTTATTTGTTTCAAAATGGTAACTAATGACAAAAGACTATTCAGAATCAAAGGTAGGTATATCGGAAGCCTATCATTTCATATTTTATGAATATGTAATATCAAGTTTACTTACACTTTTGTACATAATGATAAGCTTTGTTATAATGTAGTAATGCAGAAATAGCTCAGCCACGATATATGTATGCTATCTCTTTAACTTGTTCGAATTAATATGACACCTGAGAGCCTATTCTATTTGTCCTCGATTAATATTCGGGAAATTTGGAATCGTTTGTTAAAATCATATATGTGAAGATTATTTGTGCATATGAGGCAGTGTCAGGTCCTACCTCCGTTGCATCATAAATTTTCCAAAAAAGGGGTTCTTTAGAGTCGTATTAGCATTTCAATTATCGGAGAAATAAAATAAGTCTCTAATACGAGTTTTTATAGTTTTCTGAAACTAATTACGTTATCATACATTTCACAGTAGTGCCTCTAGCAGAGACCTTAATGAATTAAAAACGTCAGTACAAGTCAAATCAATTTAAACCACAGTTCTACGTTCCCCAATAGAATAAACTTCACTTCTATATGTTTATCTCTTTTAATTGCTTAAAACACGATAAAAATAGATGATATAATCAACTTAACAAAAAAATTTACCCATAGAGAAACTATATGTTTATACTTTACTCTTTGCTTTGACTCTGACCTAAAACCAAAGAGTAAAACTATATATTAGGGAACCTAAAACATAATTGTTTGTCATGACTGTTATTTCGTTTTGTATATTTATTAAAACTATCAAATAATTATTAGGTACTCAAAAAGGAAGTCGGACTTTTTTATAATAAAAAACTGCACTTTTGTTATCATGACCCATTTAATGAAAATGTATAACAATTGAACTGTGAAATACCAATATTTATAGGTATTCAAACAAGTTCATTGATTCAAATAGCTATTTTTTAAAAAAAACAGGAGATGTTTTCACAATTTATATCTTATTTATTTTTTAGAAAGACGACTTTAAATAATATATAATGATAGGGCCCATCTTCAGACAAATATTCAACCTAATTTGCAAACAAGAGCTGGCGAGTGCTATCAAGTTAGAAATCATAAAGTCTCGTTGGATTCTTTTCGAAAAGTGTTGATCTATGATTTTGGCTTAGAAAATTCTGAGATTATAACCCATTATACAAAAATAAATAAATAATAAAAATGTTAATAAATCTCGAAATTGTGTTGTAACTTTATTGTATTTATTTCTTCATTTTGGTAGTTTAGTATTTTTGTGAAGTACTTCTTATTATTTATAGGTAAATAGAGTTTTTGAAGAATAAGCAAAAACGAACGAAACGATTATGAGAAGGTAGGTTATACCAACCACCAATAATGGTGTTAGATCATATGTAACTACGACCGCATTGTCAACAGGGACACAACCGAAAAGGAGAAGTTAAGTGTAAAATACAGAAGCTATGTATGTAGCTTGTATATTTATACAATTGTACATACTCGTATTTCAACAGAGAAGTCTAGCTGTCCGTCCATATACAACGGATAATTGGCATCCAAATTTATTAGATCAATTGAGTAAAAGTTAAAATGTAAGACAAGGATCGGAAATACACATAAAGGAATTATACGAAATATTTTAATGGAACTTAGATATTCTATGGATCATATGAACAGCAACTCTGGTTCAAAATTTCTACCCTTCTAACTTTAGTCGGTAACAAATAAAGAAACGAGTACCTTTCTCATCGAATTATGTTTTACTCAATATATACAAAGGTGTAATTTCTTATTTGTTCACTCACATCATACATTTTATATTACTATATACGTAACTGGGACAGACGTCAGAGGTGCGACCACCTAACTTTCGAGCCATGACTCTAGCCTTAGCGTTGTTATGGCGATATTTCGTTATATTTTACTACAATTATCGACAGCTTAGCACGGACTATAGTTTTAGTAGTAATTTATTATTAAATAAATTAAATTAAATAGTTACAATTTTAATTAAGTTAGTACATTAACCTACATCTAACTCTAATTTCATATTTTATAGTTACTTCTTTTCTACTGTTTGATAAATCCAAATTTGAATCTTATCCTTTTTTCGCGAATTAAGATATGGTTTATGGTCTTCTAATGCCAAAAAATTGCTATCGATAATGTTGCTTTAAACTTATGACAATTTTAATGGACGTTTTGGCAACGTGCACTTATACATCTAGTTTTGTCATTAATACTCCTTTTTTGGGTATTATTTCTGAAATTAGTTACAAGTTGGTAATTTTGTTAAAATAGCCACAGTTGAGAACATTTTGTTTCCCATTTGTTTTGACGTGATGAGACATTTGACGTTGAGTTATGAAACCCAGTGACGTAAAACTGTGTATACCTATATTGCGTGATTCAACCAGTTCGGTCATGTAGAAGGAATGGCGGATGACAGAATGATAAAATACAAATACAAAATAAAATACAATGCGAAAGTGGAAGGATGCAGAAGTCGAGCCACAACACAGCTTTCACGATTCAATCACATCAAGCGCTAGCTCTCAAAAGGTGCCTTGAAGCAAAGCTTGCGTTGTGTTTCGTCGTGTGAGTGAGGGTACCGGAAGCCCAACCGCTCCCTATTCCCTTCCCTCTACCCCTCAACCCTTCCCTCCCTATGATCATATTCATCCCTTAAAAACCGGCAGCGCCCTTGTAGCAACCCTGGTGTTGCAGGTGTCCATGGGCGACGGTAATCACTTACCATCAGGTGATCAGTCTGCTCGTAAAAATAAACTTGCCGTTCCAAGCTTCAGACTTCAAAAAACCAGAAGATCATTTCTGGGTAAATGTATAGTAATGCATGTAAAGTTCCACAAAATGTAATTGACCTACCATCAATAAATTTCAAATTCATGTAAAGAATATACTTATGAGTAAAGGCTATTATAAAGTTGATGATTATTTTAAGGATCGCAATGCATGGAATTGATAGCCTTCGCTTTGTTCTATAAAGACTAATTATATGTTCAACCTATGTCCTACAGACTTTGAAAGTTGTATTTATTATTGTGATAATACATATTATTTTGGTAATGACATGATTTATGTAAATGTCATTACTTATGATAAAAAGCTGGTAAGTTTCTTTCGCTTGTTCTTCTTGTCAGCTAAAAGACGTCCTGAACAATTGGTAGGGGAAAAAAATTTTTTTTGGACGATTCAAAAGTCCTTGTAATAGCCTATTTGAATAAAGATATTTTCATTTCATTTCATTTCATTGCTCGTCTGCCCCCTATCCCATAAAAAAAAGGTGATATCAAACACACAAAAAACTGGCGAGTATATAAGTCAGCCACAAAACCGGCGAGTATTAATGAAAAGTGTAATGAAAGTGGATGAGCCGAAAGATGTATGTAAGGACCATACATTGTGGCGTTCGGTCCTCTCTGCCTACCCCGCAAGGGATACGGGGTGAAGATAAAGATAGATGGATAGATTTAGTCGGTTTCAAAGAACGCAATCGCGACCTTCGCATCATGCAGATGCAATGGCGGAAAACGAATCCAATATAAATGTTTAAATAATTTCCTAGGACCAGACAATAAAGTTACTGTTTTTACAAATAATAAGACTGGATTTTATGAAATTCAACCCCTAAGGGAGTAAATTAGGAGATGAAAGTGTGAAACTTCTTTACTTCAAATTTTGCATGCGGATTCTTTTTAGGACGTTGGTGCTCGCTAGGATGGTTTTTTTTATGAGATTAAACCCCACTAAGGGGGTAAATTAGGAGATAAAATTTTCTACAAAACTTCGTTACTACAAGTGCTAGGAGCTTCAAATTTTACATGTGGGTTTTTTTTAGGACGTAGATGCTCACTAAGATGGAATTTTTAAATTTATAAAAACGATAGAATTTTCTTATTTCTGGACTTAAAACTAGATCACGTGGACGAAGCCGCTGGCGGAAGGTAGTTAAATATAAATGTGTATTATATTACAGATTAAAGATTCAATTAACCTATGTATTAGTTGAGATTTCATAGTTTATTATATCGATATAGGCAGCTATAGACCGCGGTCATGATGGTCATAAGCTCATAGGACCATTTCGTGGTATGGTTAACAACAACGTGGTAAGGTCCTGAGTTTCATTCCCACGGCTCTACTTCGTTATTCTCCATGTATCCTGTTTCGGTTTTCAAATCAAACTAATATCTGAATGATCTGTCAATTTGATTTATCATTTAGGACTCCATTTTAACAGGTCAATCAGAAACCTCCTGTCAATCAATGAAGTTTAAATACCTGTGGTCAGTAGTCATCTTCGTTGTTTCAGATATCCCTTAAAGTACTCTGATATCAACTATTATAGTTGATATACTATAAATGAGCATTAATAGCTTGTTATGTTTCAAAAATAGCTTAAAATTCTCGACGAACGCAGCCTTATTACTGCCAATAGACAAGAAGTTCAATAAAATTAAACCTATTTGGAAAGGTAGGTAATAAAGTTTTTGTTTCATTGAAGCTCTACGACAAGACCACGCTGAGCTCGATGTCGAGCTCGAGTTATGTTTTAACAGAACAGCATAGCTCTACGTTAGGTGAAATTAAATACCTTTCTGCAATGAATTCTAAACTTAAGAGTCTTATACTTACCTGATATATTGTGGACTCTATATAAAAGTAATAAGTACCATCTAATAAATTATTCCAAAATTTTAATATTTTGAGGCCAGATCAGTTTTTGTTGTGATAAAAACTCAATAAAAACAAACATCTTGATATTAGTTTGTGATTAAAACAAACTAATATCAAGATAAAATCTATTCAAAAAAATCTTCTTATAAAAGTTTGGCGAATATGACTAAAAAAATAAAATAAAAAATATTAAATAATGTCAGCAAAAGGATATTAATATTAAAATAATATGTATGATGATAGAGCACAACAAAAATATGGGCTTAATAAAAATAAAAGAAGGATTTAATCAATAAATTGTTTTTATTTATTAATTATTAATTTAATTTGTGCAAAAAATATGTATGACAAAACACAATTCTATTTTTGCATCAAAACATTTTATGTTCAACGGCGTTTGGTTTGGTTTAAAAATAAAATAATACAACATATTTTAAGTCCATTTTACTTAAATCATGACTACAATCCAGAAAAATATATAGACAACGACTAAAGAAATATTTTATTTAGTATTCAACCTCAGTTTTTTTTTTTAATCTCCTTGTTAATTCATTATAACAACTGAAAGTAAAAAAAAAAAAAACAATAAATCTGACTGCGACTCAATTTCACCAGTAAACAGGTAAAGAAGCTCTAGTACAAAAGAGGTTAATCTAATTATGGAGAAATAATCCTATGCTCAAAAGATCTACATTGGGGAAAACTGTGAATCTTATGCGATGGCAGAAGATTCTTCCCATCTTCAAGTAGCAGTAAAAGCTTGTAACTTTTATTTTCATAAAATATAATATAATTTTACTTTAACCACACACGAATTACAATTGTAATAATTAATATTACAGATAAAACTAGCAGATATGAAATTGTCACTACTTTTCTAAAAAGTCTCACGTTTGTTTAGATTAACACGAAAATTCCTTTAAAAATTAAATAAAATGCAATATGATAGAACGTCGAATGTATAAAAACTCATAATAGTCATAAATGTTTAACTGACATCAAAACCGAAAAAGATTTATCTTGTTATCTATATATGTTCAATATTCTTCTTTTATTAGATTCGATAATAGAATAAGTAGTTTTTTTTTATCAAAATAACTGTTACAAATATCTGTCCAAAATGTAAATAATACCCAAATTCCATCTTTATACAAAAGATATTTTGCTTGCAACATACCCTACGCTAGGACTTTAAAAAAGTATTATTTCTTACTTTTTTTTAATATTTCACACTTTTTATTATATTTGATCACTTATGCATTCACTATGCTATACTCGAAAATAATCTAAATGTAAAAATAACTTCTAAAAAAATCGTTGTACTCTAGTACTCTGAGATGTAATTCGAACATAGAGTATTTTCATCAATGTTCAGGCAATCCAAACAAACAACCAAAAGAAATATTTTTAAACTTTCGATGAAGATGTAAATTTGTTCTGATTATTATATTTGCTCAATTTTGCATTAACAACGCTGTACTGGAAAAGATCCCTTATGAAAAATGCTTAAAAATACACTTTGTCCCTGGTACTCTGAAATGGGATTCAAACCCACGACTTTCCGCAATCCAGGCGACTACTCTAACCAGCGTACCAGTGACAAAGTGAATTTTTTAACATATTTTAAGAATATCTTCTTAATTTTTCATCCTTGGAAAAAGATCTTTAGCTTATTGACGTTGAATACCTTTTTGAAGAATTGATCTGGACGGACTGCAGACATTTTTCAAAAGCATTTTGTAATGCCTCTCGACTATATAACTTTTTGCCTGCCTAGATGTTATCCAAATTTTGGACAAATAGAATTTCGTAAACTCGATGTCTGGTGAGTATGGTGGATGAAGAAAAACTTCCAACCCCATCCCTTATAAGTTGGAGACAGTCTGCGGTACATTATGAGGTCGCGCGTTGTTGTGTAGGACCATCGCAGCTAAGTGATTGACTAACGCTTGTTAGTGACGAGCGAACTTCTCCATCATTGTGTTCAAATCTTTTAAGTATACTTTTTAAGTAATTTTCATCTCGTTTACGTCAAGCTTCGTAAGACGCTTTGAATAATTACGCCGGCGTTAGGCCACGAAACAGTGATCATCGTTTTTTTTGGGGAGGTTTCCGTTTAGGCCAATATTTAGGTGCTGAACCAGAATCTAACCAATTAGTTGAGCGCTTGCAGTCAAACACCATTTTTCATGTGGTTCAAAACTCTTGCATTTATGTGGCTATTGAACAGTGCAAGGTGACGGGCTTCGTTGACATTCATGGTTGGATAGGATTTTTCTTTTTTGAACCAAATATTTATTCAGAATTATTAATACTTAATTATTAAACTTAATATTATTTTGATTTATATTAACATATGCAGTAATTAGAGCTCTACACTCATAAATAAAGACTAAGACAGCTAAAACGTAGCCTATTAAAAGTACAATAAATATTTCCATCAGTTCAGCCAATGTTTCTGAATTTTCATGTACATTTAATGTGTTATAATATTTAAGACGGTCCATAAACATTATAAAAGAGAAATGTCTCTTCATGATACCACTCTCTGCACACAGTTCAATAATTTTACTACAGGAACTTACAAAAGGTGTACCTCGACGAAAATATGTCCCCCTTTGTAAAACAACTATTGGTTCTGATATCGGATATGTTAGAAGCTCTCCAGACTCGTCAGTTACTTTCCACGAATATGTTTGATACGCTATCTCAGGTGTTACAGTATATAAATTTTTCTTTTTGTCTTTTACTTTCATCAAACATTCAAGGACAGACTGACACTCTAATGTTTGATTTGTACCAAAAACTGATTGCCACGACCAACTAATCAAAGGTTTGCATTTTGTTAATACCTCTTGCAAATTGTTGATTTGATGACCTCTAACCGGTGTAGTTGTTGCGCTTAAAAGGAACGCCTGAATCAGAAACGTAAGAAAATACACGAATAAAATTAACGAGGCCACTAAAAAACGATACACGCTGTCAGTTTTCATATATCGGTTACGCATATTACCACAAATATAGCCAATAACAATAAGAATGCCAAGAGACACGTCTCTCTTATTTCTAGTGAAAATAGAAAAATGTATTACAACATAACAAAAGAAAATAAGGAACATCAAAATAATGACAGACGTATACCAATTAAATTGTACGAAGACAGATTCCCAGCTGGAAAGCATACGAGCTCTAGCTACTACTGCGAGTTCCTGATCCATAAGGAACGGAAAAGTATAATCTAAAGCTTTAGCTCGAGAAAATGTTATAGTGTATCCACCCGTTGCACCGTCCAATTTCTTTTCTTCTATCCAACTAAGCATTCCCGTGTAGGTATAGTTTCTCAAAACTCTCCCATACATCTGATCCTTCTCATATCTCAGCATCTCAACTGTCACGCCTGCGTGTTCGCACCATAATTGCATTATCAAATCATTGACACCATATAAAAGCATATCTGTCTTAAGTATCTTATGAACTGGATAGGACTTGTTCTGAGAGTTATTGAAATTGACGAAAGGCCAGAAGTGATGAGTCACCATTCTGATATGGCATCCTCGAAAATTAGTATTTTTCTTAACATTAAAAACTTTAATATTATGAGTCAGTTTTGAGCACTGTGTGATGGATTGTAGTACTTTAATAACTGGTCTACCGCAAGCATCTACATCACGATCGAATGTCTTAATATCGTAATCGTTTACTATTTTGCTAATAACAGTTGCATTAAACATATTATTTTCATACAATTGATTTGATAACGTGTTTAGATTCCCATCTATATTATTTTGTATGACGATAATAAATTTAGCTCTCGGATTCCAAAAGAAGTCCTTTTTGAGTGAGTTAATCCCGTTTCTTAATTGAACATAATTGTCGCTATTAATAATGTAGAATGGATTCCTCAATGGATTTTCGAGCCATAGAAAAGTTCGGGAAATGTATGTTAAATTGTTAATTTTGGTAAACATAGTTGTAGGAGCCCCATTTTGGCAATTCACAACTGTGACATCTATTTTGGGTTTTGTTAATTGAACTTGTCTTATAAGATTCTCTATACAGTCACTGAGTTTGTTGTCAATTTGTATGATTTTAAAATAATCGGTCATCTCGCTTTTAACAATATTTATTATCAAATATGATAATAGAAGTACAAGATGGTATTGCATTTTAATTTTTTTCAGTTGATCTTATCAGGTACGTACTCCTGTGTCGAGTTATAATAAAATACTGATAATAAATAATGAACATAATCATTAGTAATAGCTAACCAAAGGTTATTTTGTATGTCAATAATTTCTTTATTTCAAAATGGAAACTAATGGTGAAAGAATATTAGGAATCTAAGTGTGTATTGGGCACCGCTCATTTCAACATCATATTAACATATACTTTACTTACTACTTTTTAAGTAGGTAAATATGATGTTTCAATGATACGTGGAAGAATTAGCCGTTATAGATGGACTGATCCTATAAGACTTCCAGTTATCTTATGGTAGGGTCGTAAGTACGATTTCTATCTAGGACAGGAAATCGTAGTTACGGCAATACCATAAGATAAACGGAAGTCTCATAGGATCAGTCCTGTGTCTATCTGTCTGTCCATCTCTAACGGCTAATTTGCTCCGAAATTAATGAAACAATTAAGTTAAAATTTATAGGTATCCTTAAGAAAGTGACCCAAGTAAATAGTACAGACAGGAATTTAAACTAGTATACTATTATTTATATACGTAACATTTTAGAGAATCTTAAAAGTCCTGTGAATTTTAAGTTCATCTATGCAGACAATGTCATATCATATTTCACAACCATTCCGGCTTAATTGAGTAGGAACAAATAACAAGTAAATTAATTTTTTCATCAAATTATTTCAACTAATTTTACTCGATGTTTACACAAAGGTGTCATTACTTATTTGTTCACTCACATCGAATATTTTTTAACACTCAAGGGTGCGATACCTAATTTTCCAGCCATGACTCTAGTGATATTTCATTTCATTTTACTACTTTGACATATACCTACTTCAATAACGACAAACGAATGTTAAAGAATAAGAGTTAAGGGTTTGACAGCAGAGTTACTGACAGTCGTTTATCCACTAAAATACACGTCAAAACACCTAATAAAATGAAACAAATATCGCCGTAACATCGTTAAGATGTATAACCTATGGCTAGAGTAAAAAATACCACCACCAACATTAACCCGCCATTGGTGACGTCTATTTAGCTTACATCGTCGGTGACCCCGGTCTACTGCACCGGGGTTTTAGGCACCTCGTATTTCTTTTTTAATATTGTTTATACTGTTTTAAGTTAAAAAGGATATAAAATAGGACATTTGTTATCAATAAATAAAGGCAAAAATATAAATCAAATCTCTTTTATTAGCACTAGACAATATCTTTGGATGCATTATAATTATAAGGTATTACGGCAACATTATTTTAAACTTACAAACCTAGAAACAAATTTTGGCATAATAACTATGAAATCAGCCTTAGTCAGTCTTATGACATTGGAAACATAAAACAAAAAAATAAAAATGTTAATTCTTCCACAAAATATAATACTAAAATCATTCATCGTCAACGGCCAAACAATTTGAGCAAGTAGGTACTAGGTGCTCAAGGCACAAGTATTTTTTACATTTACGGCAAGTGAACCTTGTTTTTCGGTTTTTTTGCCATCCACATTCAAAGCAACGACCATTCCTTAACCAGCTACCCCAGGCGCATCATCGATCTTCAAAATTTCCGAAAGTCTTTGTCTCAATGATCGCGGCAAGTTCAACTGTGTTTGTCGTTTTCTTATATGTGTTTCAATCAGGTCCATAGCCAAATTCTCAATGAAGTGACGACGTAAAAGTTTCGAGTCTTGATTATTAGCTGTATGTATCACCTGGCTGTTTATAGTACTGACGTTCATAATAGCGTAAAAGACCCCCATAGGCCAACGCCTTGTCGGTCGGGCACAGTTATAATTTGCACACATACGTCTACGACTTCGACGCCACCCTTTGTATCATTGTAGCTCAAAATTGTTCTGTTCTGTTCTGTTCATAAGACATACTAAAACAACAAAAAAAAGACTATTTATTTGAAAAATATGTAAATATATCTCATAATATCTAGTAAAATATCTTAAAAACGCGTGAAACGATAACTAAACATAAAATATTACAATTACCACTATAAATAACAACAACAGTCTTATCAAAATAAGTAAAATATAAAATACACAACAAACATTTGACTTACTTCGTTGGTGACACCGGTCTCACGGACCGGGTTGGCACCAAAAACCAGGAACGTGCGCCCGCGTCGCTACCGCGGGGTGGACTAATGGTAGAGGGCGTGCATTAAGGCAGCTACTCGAAATCGCAACGCAATTCGATAACCGGTGTAAAAAATATTCTTTGTTTTTAAACTACCCGGTATCACAGACATATACGTCACCAATGGCGGGTTAATAATAGGCTTGTGTCCTACAAGTAAAAATACAGGATTTTCTTATATCATCGAAAACTATGAACCATTTTAACTTATAAATATTTAATAAAACACATTTTAAGTCACTGATTTGGAAAACATTACGCTTTGAAAACTTGAAAAAAGTAGAGAAAATCTACTACAAAAATTTGCTAAAATACATAAGGCATTAAATTAGATATAAAAAATGTAACGACCTTCATTATAACAGCTATAAACCTAAACGCACAAATAACAAAGATATTATAAAAAATGTCCAGACGCACATACATTTTTCGCTACTGTAGCACCGTGTGACGTCACAGAGTGCCTTGATTTTGTAGGGAGCGTTTTCGGCCAACTAGCAGCAGTTCTACAAATACAGCATCGTATCTCCGAAACTATTAATCGCAGACATGATGTTACTTCGACATTATTTCTCAGATGTTAATGGACTATTTATTTATGAAATAAAAAAAAAGTTGTCAACTAGCCTATTCAACAACAATTAATATAATATACTTCGCCCACATCTAAGAATATATCTATCATCTACACACATAAATTAATGTGGTAAATTTAAGTAGGGGAAATCCGATAGACTTGACCTTCCACGTATATGTATCAAACTGGATCGCCTACATAGCGAAGCATGGAAGGTCTGATAATAAAAAAGCATGCAACAATGCATTGTCTTGTGGATCATATCTCCCACCTACCTTTTCAAGTTTCCCAGATTTTCCCTCTTCTAGTCTTATATAATTGAATCTAAATTTTATTAAACAATTAACGTAATTGATTTCTTAATTGTGCATTTAACATTCAAAAATCCCTCGGAATATTTTCTGAACGTCAACGTGGTACTTTACCTAAGGGGAATCACCTCGTGTAAATTCAAATGTACATAGTATTAGTTTGCTTGTTTAATAAAAGCAGCTGCATCAAAAAAGTCTATACAGTCTAAATTATGATTAATAAAAATATCTCTTCATTTGATAGTTGGTTATGAATATGACTCGGAACCAACGGAACATTATTTCACAGCGATTGTCCCTAATTTAGCTAAGCAACCCAGTTTTAAATAATTAGTATACATGCTATCAAACTTACAAACTTTGTCACAATCAAATAACAGATGATTAAAAACAGCCTCGAACAATGTTTTAATGTTATACTGTCACGTCATAGAGCTTAAATGTTTTAATGAAATAAAAGCTTTATTACAATGAGACCATTTCACTAATCATTTGTTATACTTATTTCAAATCACAATGTCGATTCCATGATATTGCAGGTTATACCAGCGTGGGTGCTTAGAATTAGTATTATAATTTTATCGGCATACCCTATGGTGAAGAAATGACTTTATAGCATTCAGACAGATAGTCAAGTCGCTTACGACCAGGTTTCACAGAAGTGGCGAGCAAACTCCCCTTGAGGGCGTTCCCGCGCAACCAGTGCCCGTTTACTATCCTCACCTACCACCCGTATTGCCCCATGTTCATGATCCAGTGTGTTGTGGCTTTGTTCAATGTTTTTTTGAGCCACCACTGTTGAAGTTATTCTGGCGCAAGCACCTTCAATGTCGATGAAAGTGCCAAGATAACGAGTTTCTTTTGGAAGGCCGTTTCTATCTTACCTATTAGCTGATGGAGGGCTAATTCTGTAGATTTACCAGCTGAGTAAACATGTAAATATTTGTGTAAGGGAGTAATGCTCAATGCACAGCTTCCTAAGTACATGTCTGTCACAGAGTTTTGAAAAGTAAAAATATTAGACTGATGGGCTGAAAACAGTAGCGGACTAACCACATCGTTCTCTTTTTTCAACTAGTGCAGAAACTTGACCGCCATACCCCCCTACCCTACCTCCGACATATTTTTAATTTTATTATATACCTAATAATATTTTTTCTGGATGGCTGCAACCGATTTAAAGACCCACAGGACCAGATGCCCGATGCGGACCACCACCTCCGCCCAATATAAATGAACAATTAATACTCTATCCAGGGCCGGCCTAAAGAAACATGGTGCCTTAAGTAAAACATTGGAACGATGAGCAT